TCTAACCAACACATTCAAACCTCTTATAGCCATAAATGAACTGACCCCATTCAAAGGTTTACTCTGGAGTAACTTTTGCTCTCGATTCCTATACACTCTCTGCCCGTGAACATCCATTCTTTTCACTACATTCTGGGCAGATTTTGTTACTATCTTCTAGACAAAGGATATTGTTACTATCCTCAAGTTATGCAGAAAACACTCAAGGTTATAAAAGCCATATTTATCTCAAGTTTGTTAGTTGCTAGTGCTAGCTTTAAGGAGTTAAAAGTTACATGAAAATTTTATAAAATGTGTGCATATACCAATAATTTACAGTAGGTCCATCAGCCACAAAATCCACTTTAAGTTAAGCTTAGAGTCAGAATCTGAGATAGAATGGAATACTGCCTTAGTTTTAAATATCACCATGTATTAAGTCTTATCCCTTCTTTTTCTAAACACACTTTATCATCACAAATCACAGGAACTAACTGCACAACTTTCTGCTAGGGAGTTTATTCAGGTACTGAAGTTTAATTACATAATGTATAGTCCTTGCCTTGAGTGTAAACACAGACACACACCTGCCTGCTAGCAGAGTACATTCGTTATATTTTAAATATGCAATACTCCCTCAAACTAATGTGATAAATTACCTAAAAAATTAAGATTTTTGTCATTAAATTGGCATAAAATTATAAACTATAACATAATTCATTTGTCAAATTTTTAACGGTTACTTTATATACATTGGTAACCATATGTGTGTGTATATATATATATATATATATATATATATATATATATATATAATTATTCCATATTTAAAATCCTAGCTTTTTCAAAAAGAAATCATTCCCACTGCTTAAATAGCACGCTGGCTGTAGCCTGGATGTGCTCACACATGCACACGAAGCGCACACACACTCACAGACACTCCCAATCTTACACCTGCTCTGAAGCAGTAGGAAGTGAATTCTCAATCTGTCAACATGACCATCTGGTCTATCTGCATATCACGGCTTTCTCTAGTACTATATGAAGGAATGGCAATCACGAAGCCAAAATAAAACTAAAATGCACCTGAATGGGAGTATCTCTCTTTTGGCTGAAATGGAGTTATATGTGGCACATCATAGCAAAACTAGCAGTGATCTAACTAATTTAAAAGGAACATTCCCAGCAGCAGAATTAAGTGAACACTAAGTTACAGGTAATGTGCTGATTGGTAATAGGGTTGTACAGGTTTACAGTCTAGGTACCACGCTTCTGAGACACTGAAACAGCTCTTTCTGTAAATGACAGGACTATGTTATTCCTGGTCCAAGCAAAATCAGATGTGAGTAGAGCACTCAGAAACTACTTCCCAAAAGATCACTTCCAAAATTGTTCACTTTTCACCTTAAAACTACCAAGTATTCCCACTGCCATTATGACATCAGTTCACTTGTCATTGGCTAATTAACAGAATGAGCAATTATGTGATAAATTTTGGTCACTTATTAGTCTTTCAAAGAGAATTTTTTTTAAGACTGCTAAAAATATTTCCAATCTCAGAAAATTCTTCACCTGCAAAAAGTGAAGATGGCTCATTATGGTTTTGCTTTTGGGCCTACTACCACTTCCAAATTAGCAAAGGCCTTAGTTGAGTTAAACATAATTTTGTTTGTTTTAATTTTTAAATGTAGTGATATTTAAAACCTACCTCAGAGCTTTCATTCTAACCTACACCAGATAATAATTACTAAATATAATATAAACAGAACTGTTCTAGGTCATAAATACAACAATCTACCTCTGTTCAAGAAAGGAATCCTTAAAATGTCTAACCTCTTTCAAAACTTAACTAGCCCAACTGAGAATCTTTCTAGAATCTGATTTAATTACCAGAAGTTATACAGAAGCAGTTTAAAAAAGAAAGAAAGAAAGAAAAAACTCTCCAGAAAGTTCTCGGTTGAGTGCCTACTAATGAACAAAGGTTAACTTTATCTAAAAGGTCAAATGCCTGGTGGCTAAGGTTATGACCTTAACAACTTAAATTGTGACCTTGCCACGTGCCGGGTATATTGTAGATTCTGATACAGATCATCTGGTAGCAGCTAGTCATAAATTAGCTTTACTGTTACACCCACAAAGAGAACCATTTGCCACAATACCATAATATCTCCAAGTTGTCATATGATACATGGGAAGCACAACTCAAATAGAGAACAAATTAAGGGCATAAAATGGTTTTGTCCTTTTATACTTTTAACGAGATGAAATTCTCAGGATTATGAAATCACTTCAATTTCACTACATTTGTTACTGTTTATCAGCCACAAATTCACACAGTTTCTAATACCACGAATTTAGGGAGAAAACTTGGACTGTAGTTGATGTATTATATTTTGGTATCTCAATAACCCTTAGAATAAATCATCTCTGCTTTAAAAAAAGTGATTGATTCTGCATTTGCTTCCAGTACTCTCTAAGATTTTAACTTTTCACCAAAGAAGCTGCCAATGGATGAAGCAATAATTATTGTACCTATTTTTAGGAGCAAAAGATCTCATTTCTGTGGCCATCTAAGGGAAAAAAAGACATTTTAAGAGAAAAAATACAACATTGTCAAAGAAAGAAAGAAAAAAAAAAGTAACATAGGTGAAAGGGCCACAATGGTTCGTCATGTATCTTGGAGCATGTTTCAGAGTCTCTGCCTCCTGCCAACACTGGCAAGTTCTCAAAACTTTTAAGGAGGTAAAAACATTGTTTAGTGTTTACAAATCTTCAGCATTGTAACAGATGCTTGTCAAATCAGTTGTATGTAAGTTGACCAATCTACCTCATATTTGTATTGGCAGCTTCTTTTCCACAAATAACAGGTCTGGAAATCTCTTAAATCAAATCTGAAATATTTTCAGACAAAAGGCTCTTACTATTTTCTTTTGCAACCTTCCTGTTGCGCACAAGAGCAGCAGCCATTACTGTGGTGCTGTGGAAGCCAATGGCCAGACATTTGGCTGGTATTCAGGCATAGCAAGGGATTCTGGGATATGTTAGGAAAACCAAACCAAAAGGTAGTCTGATCTATGCTGCTGTCAAAAACTCTTTCATAAGCACTAAGGATGCTAACTTTCCTAAGTGCCCTTCTAAACGTCATTTCACCAAAATCACCCCTCCAATATTATACCAACCAGCAACTGTGAAAACTCAAGGATTTGAAACAATGTCATAAACCACCAACAATGAAAGGTAACACAGGTAATGGGACTAGCAAGAACAGCTACATTTGCTTAGATCTAAGGGAAATGCTGAAGTCAAAATCTTAGAGCGGGTCCTGCTCATGCCAATAAAAACTACACAGGGTGCTATCTTGTAAGGAAGCACACAGATGATCGATATCACCTGCTGGCACCCTCAAGTTTCTAGACTGGCCAATTCGAGCATTCGCTGTAATTTATGAATTATTTCCGTAAATATCTAAAAGACAAACACAGGAATTTAAAAAGTGCTCCTTGAAAGCACGGGAACACATATTTTTGCAACCTGATGCATTTACATATGCATAAATGAAAAATAAAACTTTGTTTTTGTCATAGATGGATAAATAAACAGCAGGGTTAAAAAAGGTTAACAAAGAACCACTTGTTCCTGTTTAGACATCAGTGGAGAGGTACTGCCTTTTCATTTTTGCTACCCCGAACGGGCTAAAGCAACAGGCACTGCTTATCATTAAGTATACATTTTCAAAAACCCAAATATTTGAGACGCGTACAGAGAACATCCTCTGAAATACTCATCCATCCCCTGCCAACAGAATGCAAATGATGTGACATGCTGGCAAAGTTAATTCCTCCAGTTTCTTAAGTAAGGACAGATGGGTAACAAAAGCTCTCTTTCTAAGTCACATATTGAGAAAAGTAATAGAGAACAGAATATCAGCTGACCTTTGGGGGAAAAGTTAACATTTTTAGAATTTAAAATCTTTTGCAAAACAGTGCAGTGTTGATTTTATAGGTAGTATCTTCTCTCTTTTTTGTGAAAAAAACCCCATAAACATATGAACTCCAAAACAAATTTCACAACTTTTTCTTTCATCTGCCTCAAGCAACTGCCATGAAGGCAATCTAGCAAGCCTGATATGTCCATATAAAAAGTCAACAAGTTACACAAGACCTGAGCTTTCACGTAACACAATGAGCCTTTTGTCTCAAACAAGACGAAAGGAACAAAGTAAAAATGCATTATTTTATCCAGTTCTCAATAGTTTTAGCCTGACTGCTATCCTAAATGCTAAAACATGTCTTAAAAAAAAACAATGATTTTATAGAAAATCAAAACAACTCACTACATCAATTATCAATAGCAACTTCTCAATGTGTTCATGCTCTGTGGAGTGTGGTTACTTTTAATATCAGCCCCTCTGTCAATTACTTAGTTTGGTTGGTTGGTTTCCCTTGGCTATTTCAGACAACACCAAGAATTTCTGAATAAAAAGCGACTAAGCTTGTGCATTAATGTGATTATCTTTTCTTCATAAATCATCAGCAATTTGATAGTAATCTTATCTCCAACTTCTTAATTGGCAGGGGGATTCAAGAAGCCCCAGTAGATTGAAGACACTCCCAGCAGAAACGCAACTAACAAGACTGCCTTACCACCAAACTAAACGCTTTTTTTTAAAAACTAGATCACTCACCAGTTAACACATACTCTTTATTTAATACAAAAGCGTTCATGAGGTCTCTCTCATCCCTCAGGAAAAAAAAAATGTGATTTAAACTTCTGACCCTTCAGATTACCAACACTTCTGATAGCACTACTTACCAAAAGATCTGAACTTAGTGAGAGATCTCTCAAAGCTATGCTTTTGCTCCACCTGAGGGGACCACCTCAGATAGGGGGCTTCAGGCTGCTCTGAGTGGTCTATCTGTGAAACCACCCTAGGTTATGTTAGTGGCCTACACCACAGGTGCTCAGGAAGGGTCCATCAGGAAAGCACACAAGAAAGAAGAAGTTCTCACCATCGCACTTACCTGCTGCATGCACAAAGTATGCCAAATATAAATCGAGTTCCTTCACAGAAACCCCTATGTGATGGGGCTGGACACAGAGCCCTGGATTAGAGCATTGTGGGGACTTTACAAGGCGCTCGCCATCAGTACTTTCCAGCGGAATACCTTTGAACAAGATCACCATAACAAGGTCCAACCTCCAGACTTTGTCTGCCTGGCGGAGGCAGTCAATTCTGCGCATCTTGCCTTTCTGGTCTGGATTAGAAAGAACACAGCACGGAGGTTTTTTCCCTGTCACTGTAAGAACAAAATCCTCTCGGTACTCAGGTCGGATATCTTTCCTTAACTTGGCCAGAAGTCGAGATGCCCACTTCTGCTTGACCTCTGGTTTCTCACTTAGCAACTCATCCTTCACGGCTCTCTCTTCTTCTTTTGACATACGCTTTTCATGTTTTTTGAAGTATTTTCGTTTTCGGGCCTGCAGGTTGAACCATGTGTAGGCGAAGGCTCGGACGTGAGGCAGAAGTGCTTCGATGAATGGATGAAATTCATCCTAGGGAAAGGAAGAGAAACAAAATTATGGGTGCAATGAAAACAGAAACAAATAACTTTCTTCAGAGGGTCATCTTAAAAAACATTCCTCTTTTCACTTGAAATTTGATTCAAGCGTTACATTACCAAAATCATACAGAAATCTCTAATGGAAGTTCAGGGAGAGAGGGGGCATGATCTGAAAGAAGAAAATTGCTAAAATTTTTTTAATGTTTTGATATGCTCACCAAAATCCACCAGCTTCTGTTGTTGGGCCTCATTCTCTAATGCTTTAGCAAGTAAGTGAAGTTTATCTAACAATATATAATCTTAACCCTATTTCAAGGAAGGCATATCTAATTTTGCCCTAGCTTTGACCTCACCACTTGTAGTACAGCCAGGGCCCGGCCGCCAGATTGGCAAATCCTAAACGTTGAGATGCCGTTAATGCTTATGGAAGTTTAGGAGCAAAATTCAGCCCCACCATCAATGAAAACAAAGATCTTTCCTCTAAAATTATCCCACATAGATTCTGATGTTTCTTCTGTACTTGCTAGTATTTCAATTCCACTTTGAAATATTACAGTTGCACAAAAAATTTTTTACTCAAAAAGTTAGAAAATTTTGGCAGATCCTTACACAAAAGAAGAGAAGAATTTGACATTCATTAGGCTAAAATAAAAGATATATGTCCAAGACGTAATTGCTGATACGATGGGAATGAAACAAAAAGGGGGGAAATCCACAAAGAAATGCGTGCATGTCAAATAGTAGCTAGAATGCATCATAGTGACAACACTGTTACAACTAAATATGAGTATGAAATGCCTGTTACAACTAAATATGAGTATGAAATGCCTTCAGTAATAATGATCCCTAAAAAATAGACCTAATTTTCAGAAAAAATATTTCAGGTTTTTTCCCAGAGGGAAACAGAGAACCTAGTATATTCAATGTTTGTGAGACTCCAGGAAAACCCTCACAATGCCTCTGAAAATTCAGATAATTTGAAAATAAAATTGAATTTAAAGCATTTAAATTCTTCTTTGTGTTTCACTCAAAATGTTTGATTCCTACACTGATATTTAGTTAGGAAACACAAATACAAAAATAAAGAAAAAAATTAAACAGTAACCTCCACAAGGCTTTGGAAGTACATCTAACTTTTAGTTAATCCACACTACTCTTACATAACTTCTTTCTGTCACATAACCTTCCCTCCAAAATAAATTATTTACTTGTAAGTAAATGAGGGTAAGAAAACTAAAGAAATATTTAATGACTTTTTTAAGGGTGTAGGATAAATATTATAAAATGAATTCTTGTTTATTATAACGATCTAAATACATGCTTTTGTGATACAAGTAACTGTTATGTCAAAAATAGTATTACTATTAAAGAAATTACTAAATTTCTTAATGTTCAAATATAGACTGAGAGGGTAAAATATTTCAAGAGTCAAGTCTGTTAAAATTTTACAAATAATAATCAATCATGTGAACACTATATATGACTGTTTTTTAAAGTAAGTATATATTAAGGTAATACATAATAAATCACTGCAATAATTGACATTTATTTTTTTCTCTCTGCACAAATTTCAGGTTCAAGTTTAGCTTTGAAAACTGTTCTTTCTCAATAAAAAAAATCCAAAGAGAAGTAGTCAGCTTTCATAATGCGTACATTCCAGTGGAGGATAAAAAGAGAAAAATCCAAGAATTACATTATTCTTTATCATAAACCATTAGCATTTTAAAAATTTGTGATGCTTGAGAGTTTTTCTTTTCCCCAGTCTTTAGAAGAAAGAAACTGGGAACAAGTCAGTTTATCTACTAAGGTATATGCCAAGCCACAAATCATTTAAACATTATTGAATTCTGAGCTCATCCTTGAAATGCTCTGAAATACATGAATTTTTAGTTTGAAACAGTCCTTCACATTGACTGATTCTCTCGTATATACAGGACATGCTGGGGAACAAGGTTTTGTGGCTTCAGGCAAAGAATCCCTGGAGTTTACCTCAGACTGCACAGGGAGGATTTCTTTTTAAAGTCTCAGTCCCATTTCACACTGCAAAGAATAACTTAATGCCAAGCAATTCAGATCTGTGTTAAAATACTGTCTTATTTCAAAAACTTTATTAGTGATAATTCACATTTTAAATAAACATCCTAATATGGCATTTTACAGGTACGAAGATATTCCCAAAATGTTTCTTAAAACCCGCAAACTGCTCTCATCCGAGCTCAGAGCATGCTGTTTACCTGCTAACCAAATGTCCATACAGTTCATCATAAAAATCTGTAAATGAGGCCAACTATGTCCACTAGTCATGAAGAATTACCTAAGTCCCCAACATGGCATCAAAAGTATTTACAATACTTTACTCCTCACAGGTTTCTAGAATGTACCAATGAAAGCACACAGCAGCATCTTGTCTCACTTCACTACCATGAACAATTACAGTGCTAATTTTTAAAAATATATCTTTCTCAACCTATGATTAGAAATACTCCAAAACATCAGAACTAAAAAATACCACTAGCTTGCAGGACATGTCCAGGGATACTGAATTGACTTTAAAAAAAAAAAAAAAAGATGTCCTTATAAATCAAGTTGAACACAATACCACAGGCTATGTAAAATTTCAAAATAATCGAGAGAAAACAAAGAGTATTTTATAAATGGAGTTGGTGAGAATGTTACAGGCCACCAATAAAAATAAACCTGAAAACCTGTTTCAAAAGCAGTATTACTTTGAATCAGCATTTAAATGTTGATCTTAAATGTTTGAAAGTAAGCCAAGTTTAAGCAACACATAACAGTGATATTTCTGGAAACTACTTTAAAAAAAAAAGGTTTGCCTACAAATTTCTGCTTGGTTATCATTATTTAGCCAGGTACATGATTTGGTTATGATCTGCACATCCTGGATTAAAATAAGATGTCTGGTATTTTCCTGGTTAAGTTTTTTAAAAGTATATACAAGCAAATAGAGTTTACGCTTCCATGTAGGGTACTTTTATCACTGTGCTTACTGGATCTGTTTTTTTAATGAGCAATAAACTACCTAAGTTTTTCTTTCTGAAACTGGCTCTAACGCATTATAAATAATCCAGAAAGTTAAATAAATTGTAAATCAATTTTTAAAGAGCCCCCCCATAAAATAAATGAGCCTTCATTCACTATTTATCGTACATTTTCTTCCCAAATAAGCGTTTCTCTTAGTGCTGTTTCAGAAGGCCTAGCGAATGCATCAATCAACACTGCCAAATATGTAGGAGGGAAAAAAAAAGAAAAAAAAACTTTCTTAATGTGATAATAGCTCATGAAGCAAGAAAAGCCAACTTTGTTAAATACCTCGCTATGCCCAGGGCCTGCACGAATTCACAGGTATCCTCCTGCATGCACAATCTTAAAAGGCAAGTTTATCTTTTCCAACCTCACTTAAGACAATGATGTACAGTAGGGTCTTTTCTCTCTGTTGCAGCACACTGGTGCAAGTTGTATGCGTTGGAAACTTTTGCCAACTAGGACTTCAGTCTTTGAATCTCAGCATTTTCACTGTAGTCTATAATTCATTCAAATTATCTTACACTTTGCATCTTATCCATATGCAATTGTGAACCTTGCCAGAAGTGGTTGGAAAAGTTTCATTCCATACTTCCACAAGTTACTAAAATAGGAACTTTGGAAGTTTGTAAGGAAAAAAAAAACTTTTACAATAACTAAAAGCAACTGCTATCCATTATTAATGCTAGGCCTAAATCCCAAACAGACCATTTCAACATAAAAGATGCATTTAAGAGTCTTCTGAGATCAAATAGCCGGTGTTATTACTGTTAGATACTGCGGTGAGAAGGGATGTCATGTGGCTAATAAACCCAGAATCTAGAGAAGACAGAGAAAACAACTGATACTCTTCAGTTCCAAAGTATTCCGGTTAAACCGTTATCTCCTGCTAAATGAAGGCAAGAAGTCCTAAGCAGGTTTTTAAGGGAGTGGTGCATTAACATTTCATTTGAAGCATATAACTTCATGTAGGTGATTAATGGTCAGATCGCAATGTACCAAAGCACTATCTAGACACACTTTTCTTTTTTCCAAAAAAAAAAAATTTGCGCAAAACCATCTGACTTCAGATCTTTCAAGAAAATAAATAATATATTCAAAAGGGACGGGATTTGGGGCCGCAAAGTAGCAATCTTTTGCCTGGGGGTGGTGCAAACAAGGGAGGGATGGACTGGGAGGGCAAGTAAAGGAGGGGCGGTGGGGCACGGGAGCCCCACGCTCCGAGTGGAGTCGGAGGGGAAAAGTTGACCCCGTCCTGCGCGCGGGGCGGCGGGAGTCGCGCACGGGGCGGCGTTGGGAGGCGATAGCGGCGGGGGAGGGGGGTTGCGGGGGGAGCCGTGTCCGGCCCGGGCCGCCGCTCGGGCTCGCGGCCGGTAGCTCAGTAACTCCGCCCGGAGCTCCCGGGCCCACGGGCCCGCGGCCTCCCGCCTCTCTCCGCCCTGCGCAGCGTGGGTTTGTCCCGGCCCCGAAACTTTCACTCGGGGAAAGCGAGCGGGTCACCAGCGAGTGGTGAGGACGCAGGCTCCACCCGACCGGCCGGCCGGCGCCAGGGGACGCGCGTCCCTGCAGCCCCGCTCCGCCGAGGACTCGCCGCCGCCCGCCCGCGCCCGAGGGGCGCAGTCCCAGCCGGGCCCGGGGCCCGCACGGCGGCCCATGGCCGGACCCCGAAAGCTGACAATAAACAAAAGTAAGAGTTTGCGGATGATGGCGGGGTCCGCGGTGGCGCGGGCTCCGGGGAGCGGGCTGTGGGTGCAGGCACCCGCGGTCTCCCCGCACCCGGGGGTTGCAGCTGCCCCAAGCGTGCGGGGCGCGCGGTGGGCTCGGTTGGCGGCCTCCTCCCCGGGCGCGGAGGAACTACAGGAGCCCTGCCCTGGGTAGCAGAAACGCTGAGTCCAGATTTCAGCGTGTCATGGGCTGCGACCCGGCTGAAACACGTGCGGGGCGTTCGAAAACAGCGCCGTTCCGCAGTCCGTCGCCCCGATATTAATTAACGCATTAATAAGAGGGCGCCATTAGCCATGTGCCCACACAAATGGCCGTGCAAGAGGAATGCACCCGCATGGAAACAAAGTTACTTTCTTAAAGCTGTATTTCTCCCCCCTCCCTCCCTACCCGGCACACGCGCGCGCACACACAGAAACACGCGCAGACACAGGCACACATCGAGACACATGCCCCGGGCCCAGCCTGGGTGACGGTCCCCGGTTCCCCCTTCCCCAGCCCCAGGCGGGTCCCCGCTCCCCGACCCCCTCACCCGTCCGCATCCCAACAGCTGCTTACCTGGGTGAGACAGAGCGGAGAATACATAACTGCCGGGCGGTGGGGTGTGCGTGTGCGTCTGGGTGTGCGGTTTGGAGGTGTGCGTGAGTGTGGGTGAGAGAGGAGAAAGAGGGAGAGAGGAAAAGAGAGAGAGAGAGAGAGGAGAGAGAAGGGGGGAGAAAAAAAAAATCAAGCCTGCTTCTTGCGTTCACATTTCCAACTCGGCTCAACTGCAGCCAGCCAGCGCTATTGCCGCTCCATGAGCTGAACTTTAACCCCGCCTAGAGTTTCCCTACACTCCACTATACATGTCTACTGTACGCGGGCGTTAAAGGCATAGCGCACCCTTTCCCGCTCCCGCGCCGGCCCGGCCGGGTGCCCGCGAGCTGCCCGCGCGCCCGCCTCCGCCTCCTCTCTGCACCGCACCGCACAGCCGCCGCCCGCTCGCGCCGCCGCCGCCGCCGCCGCCGCCGCCGCCGCCGCGGGAGGGGGGGTGGGGGAGGGGGCGGCTGCGGCGCCGCGGCCAGCCCGGTCCCCAGCCTCCGCGGCCGCTCGCGCTCGCCCGCCCGATCGCCCGATCGCTCGCTCCCTCGCTCTCCTCCTGGCTCGCCCGCTCGCTCGCTAGCTTGCTCCGTTCTCTGGCTCTGTCGCTAGCTCCCTCGCCCCCCCCAGCCCCCCCTTCCCCGCTCAGCGCATTACTGGGTAACGCAGTGAGGAGCAGTTACAGTCTGTACTCCCGGGCAGCTATAGGCTGCCACAGGATGTGCTTAAGCAAACAAAACTACTTTTCCTCATCCCCATCCCCCCACCCCCGCCGCAGACCTTCGCGGACCTCGGTGCAGGATTTGGGCAACTTTGCCAGGTCGTCCTGCACCCCCTGGGCCACTGTGTGGGCACGTAGAGTACCGAGCAGGAGGACGGGCGGCACATTTGCATGTATGCAAATTTCTTTTAAAAATCAGACCTCCTAGGTAACTTTTCTCCCCCTGTGAAATGCGGTACGGCTCAAAGCATTGTAATCTCTCCAGCGAAGCTTTCTGTGGGAATAGATTCGTCGGCAGAGGTAATTATGCACAAAATCCTGTAAACTTTGTGCAGCTTCAGTCCTATGGCATTCAGAAGCGGAGGGCTGGTGGGGATTAATCTCACACAGAAGATTCACCAGATTGAGAAGGGGGTCTTGAGGAAGGGAAGGCGGAGATTAATGAGCAGTCTCCCTCCCATGACTCTGGAACTAGTGGGTTTGAACACAGACGCCATAGAGAAAGTTCTGTCACGTTCAGAAACAACAGAGGTTTAGCTGGGATTTTTTTTTTTTCTGTTTAGGAGGAAAAAAATGTGAAAGGGATGTCCCCTTAGGGAAGGGATATATTCTGATCCACGAACGCGTGCCCAGAACTGGACCTAGACTGTCATTATTGTCCCTGTTCCCAGGACATCTCTGGAAGGGTGCCTTTTACGAATCCCCTCTTTTTTTCCTCCCCCAGGTAATAGTTCTTAAAATGGAAAAGAGCTTCCTGCAATTATTTTAGGTTTGCTAAAGTATTGTTTTGGCAGAAGAGGGGGATGGTTTTTAGGGTTTGGCAAGTTGCCAATAAGCCTGCTTTTCCAGTTTTTTTTTTTTTCTTTTTTCTTTAACCTCGTATTTTCTCTCTAGGCTGTTTCCTCCTGGAAAAAGAAAAAAATATATACATATATATCCATATACCTGCCTCCTTCAAACCTCCATCCCATCCTTTCCTATTCCTCTCCCTCATGGTAGCTGGTATCTTCCTACATTTGCAATTGGCAACTCCTCTTGAAATTCCAAAGGGAAAGAGGAGGGTATCACGTTGAACCCTACCCTGAGCCTGGCACAGACAGGGGAATTTAGTTCTTGGTGGAGATGACTTAGCTAGAAAGACTCAGGAAAGAGGAAATTCCTGGAGGAATGCCCACCAGGCAAATGAAGGTGACTGGCATGTTAAGGCCACTTTCATTCAGAGCTTGCAAGAAATAGGCAAGAAGAAGCAAAAGAAAAATCCTCTGAAATAACTCTGCATCTGTCTAAAGTTGATTTTATGCTTGCTCCCTAGTTACTTTAGAGCTAAAATAATTCCTCAATCCAGAAACCATTCTCTCCCATCCCCCTCCTCCTGCATAAACTTGAAAGTTTCTGATTATTTATTAAAGGGTAAAAGGAAATAATAATTTCACCCTTTAATTAGTGCGTCCATTTTCCCAAACTAAACAACTGCTTTTCTTTTGTCCTTCTTGGGTTTCGTAGGGGAGAAATGTCCTCGAAGCTAAGGCGAGTTACAGAGTCCACATCCCTGGCCACGAAAACCTTTGTGGGATCTATAACTTCAACGCGCTCCAAGTTTCCTCGATAGAAGTTTCTGGCTGACGGTCCCAACATGTAACTGAGGCACAGTGAGAAGTTATTGTTCCGAGTGTGTACTCTTGGGAAGCTCTCTTCCAAAGAAGATTAAAATCTTTTGGTGTATTAAAAGATACACTTCACATCTGCCTCTTTTCAAAACAGCAAAGATTCTTACTTTTGAGTGAGTCTCAAGGAAAAAAATTTTAAAAGAATTGGCATGTCGCCCTTTTTTTTTTAAATGAGGGAAAGTAATTTATTGCTGATATTTCCACTTTAAAAACTTCTTTTGTTGCAGCAGTGGATGTGCCCTCGATTTCCAGCTTTCTGCGGTTAGCAATATTATCTTAAGTAACTTTTGGCGCCCTTCGTAAGACTTTTGGATATGGGACGATTGTTTGCGCCCTCTAGGCAAGGGCTGGATCCAAGTTCAGCACCAAAGCCCTTCACATCCGCTCCTGCTTTCTCTCCTATCTCCGCCAGATCCCGCTCCCTCCCCCTCGAGGGAGGGGGGTGAAAGGCGGGGGAAACACTACAAAGCCCAGTTCCAACTGCAGCCCTTGGAAACTAGACTGAGAAAAATACAGTAGAAGAGTTACAGTTACAGAAAGGCTTCTGGTAACTTTCTCTCTAGCAGGCATAAATTTAAACACACACACACACAAAGAAACAGATGTTCCTCAAAGGGCAGACTGGGGGTAAAAAACATTTCCAACTTTCTCCCCTCTTCCCAAATTGCAAAAGTAAATCCTTGTCTAGAGTTCACAAAAATAGGATTGAGAGAGAGAGAGGTGGGGAGTAGAGAGAACAGTGTAAGAAACACAGGTGAAGTATGAAAACTAGTTTACTGCAATCGTATAAATGACCCATTGTTAGGAAGGATAAACCCCTTATTGGAAATAATCGCTCCAATCATTTATTTTGCAACTGGTAGGAGGCCGCCTTGAAATGGGATTGTCTCTGTTCAAAGGAGGCTCCTGTCATGCTCTCTGCTATCCATATTCTTCCTGGCACAGAGCCCAGCCTTGCATTTACTGTGTTTTATTTGCAGAAACGTTACCTTGCCAGCTTTAGTGAAATCCTCTTAGATATATAAATTACGTCAATAAGGTTTCACTTATATGTACATCTCAAATACCTCTCGTTTTTGGAGGATAGTTAATTGGGAAATCTTATTACTCTGACTGAGATTTTAATCCCCAAAGCAGTGGAGATAGAACTGCAATTCATAAGTGACAACACCAGTCACTCTATAGTTCTTACTAATACTAACTTTACTAACTAGCATTTTCTAACATTTTTTTCTTCTTTAGTTCTTGACCTGCTGGTCACTTTATATGCAGATTTTCCTTACATACATATAATCTTAAATTGAATCATGTTGCTGAATTGAGAATTCAAGTAAATTCTAACATTAAATTTCTGAACCAGACTTGACTGGGAGGCCAAAAGCCTTGGGAAATAGTTGGATGAGAATTTAATCAAAAAAAAAAAAAAAGAAAGAAAGAAAAAAATCCATATTATTTTCCTTCAATTCCCAACTGAATTAGGTGTCTACACTGCTCAGAGAGAAGGAGGTGATGGATATATTTTTGTCAGAGGCTGCCAGTTACAGTCTCCAAGACACGCTACTGCAGTTGATTTCCACTGGACTGGGGTCAAGGACTTGAGCAAGAGGCTAGACTCCAGCTAACAGGCAGGCAGCAGACATCAGCACTTGTACCATCCACAGGGGTTGTTGTGGTAACAAGAAATGTGAACTTAGTCAGTCTTGATATACTATTTGCTACTGACCATATACTTAAAACAGTAGAATTCAAGAAAAGTGAAGAAAATCCACCCCCTTTCTTTCAAATCTACACAACAGCTGTCAGTCTACCTGTGACATCTTCTCTTTTCCTTAAAACTATTTAGAGTTTAAGAGAAGCTCACCCATTTCTTCAAAGTACTTGAAATGTCAAAGCTTCTAAGAAAATTGAAGTGAGAAAGTTCTGAAATGCTGAGTATGCAAAATTTATTACTTCCCAAAGTTCACTGCAGTCCCAAAATTCAAGCAAGACTTAAGCCACACATTTCTTAAAGAAGTTAAACCTCACTTTCCACAAGTTACCAACTTCCCTGAGTATAAAAAATAACTAATGCAAAGTTAAATATTTCTCTAGCAAATTTTTTTCTGGTTTTTTCCAAAGAGCGAAGGAAGACATACGATTCATGCAAAAATCCCTCAATCAGCCTTTTTGCCTTCTTAAACTCGCAAGCTCTTTCCTATTGTGCTTGCTAAATCCGGAAGAGCTTGTAGGTTTGACAGCTTGAACCACACCAACCCCTTCAGAGCTGCAGAGAACTTCACATCTCTCTGCCCCGCCCCTTCTGGCTCTTTCGAACCATTGTACACCCAAGCTTTCTCGTGATTGGATAGAGCTTTTGTCAATCTCCCATGTTGTACCATTGATTAGAGGATCGAATCGTCAATTATTCTCCGGGTCCAGACATTTCTTTTCGGGTTAGGTTGACTGCTGAGGCCAGACGTCTTTTACAGAACAGAGCACGTACAGGATTCCCCCCACCCCTTTCTGGAACCGAGCAAGCGCTAGGAGGAAAAAAAAAAAATCTGTTAAGCTCAGCAATTTTTTTAAATCCCGGGAAAAAAAAAAAAAGGAAACCCAGTCTCTGATGCACACAGCAAAAACGCCACAAAGCTACATCTTTAAAAGAAAAACATCACAATAGACATTTACCCAGTAATCACTTAAGTGCATATGCGAACTAGAGAAATTTTAAAGTCTTAGCCATTAAACAGAAACATTCTACCATTATTGTTTATAATATGCATAACGTATAAATGTAAAATAGAAAGTTTATGATGTACCACGTACCATTGCAATGTAAAAAGAGTACGTGAGAAACTTTAAAATGCTCAGACGAATTGCTTCATTTGTTGTCGCCTTTTTCTTTTTTTTTTTTTTTGCATTTAAAAAAACATCTAAATAAACTTGGAACCGTTGAAAACCCGGAAGAGATTTTTTTTTAAAGCTGCTGGCCAATTGCAGGCTTCTTGGAGAATTTTTTTTTTTTATTCCAAATCAGAAGGCAATTGCAATGCGCGCGGTCTCTCTCTCTCTCTCTCTCTCTCTCTCTCTCTCTCTCTCTCTCTCACACACACACACACACACACACAGAGTCTCTCTCTC